GGGGAATTGCAAAATGAGAACGGATTGATGGAATTTGAATAATAGGGGCATTTAATTAAAGCTGTTCATATCATTTATAGTCAATTTTCTATTCAAATCAAATTTGATCCCACTTTTATCTTATCAAAAGATGCAGCCCCTAATCCCTATTTAAGTCATTATTTCAAAGCAAGTGTGTCTATATATGTCACACACTTGCAAAATAATTAATACTGTGTACTTCTTATGCGACTAACAACTTTATACAAGTAATAATTAAACTGAAAGAGGAAAGTAGCATCAAAATAAGTATTACACATGCAAAATACCATTAGTAATTAAGGAACCGTCATCATCCTCGCAACTAAGCGCAAACACTACATCCTAGCTAATTTTCTATAATTCTATTTTAACCTCAATCACCCTCTAAACATCTACCTAATAATTAGTCATAGTTTAGGAATTAAGGTTCGACCTCTTTTAATTGTATTGCTAGCAATTTTCTCTTAATGACACCTCCGTCCCGCTAAAATCTTCCTAGTTTGACCTACACACATATTAAGAAAATAAACTTATCAGGGATGAAATTTACTGTTTTGACACTGTTTCGACACTGTTTGGCACTGTTGACACTATTTTGCACTGTTTGACACTGTTTTAATGTTGGATAACTTTTCATTTAGAGAAATAGGAACTTCTTTTTGGAACTGCTAAACAAGGAAAGCAGGAAGATCTTATTGGGACGGGGAGTATAAAAGATCCTTTGTTGCCTTGATATGTAACATCGAAATGACTCAAATGATATAAAATTGAATATTATGTTAGCTAGGGAGGGGGCCTCATTTATGTCGTGTTGGTAGCAAAGTTTCACATACAGTTTAGGTGCCAAAATCTTCATTACGTACGTGGATCATTATTTGTCCATGATGTATACTCCTACATATAATATGTCCACTAGCTTATAATAGTACTCCGCCCGCACTATATATATGCTAGGCATTCCCATTGCATTTCCAAGTAAAATGGAGGCTATATCAAGCACCAAAATGAAGAGACTCCTCCTTTGCTTGAGCTCTATAATCTTAGCCGTCGGAGTGTGCGGTGGTCCACTGCTCTTACGCCTCTATTTCCTCCGCGGCGGCCACCGGATATGGTTTTCCAGCTGGCTACAAACCGCAGGATTCCCCATCATTTTTATCCCACTTCTCATATCATATCACCGCCGGAGACGTGGCGGTGAAAACCCAAAAACCACCACTACCCTTTTCCAGATTTCTCCGTGTCTATCCATATGCGCAGCCCTAATCGGCGTTCTCGTCGGAGCTGACAACTACGCCTACTCCTACGGCATGGCGAAGCTTCCGGTCTCAACGTCGTCCCTCGTCTCCGCCACTCAGCTCGCCTTCACGGCCGCGTTCGCTTTCCTGCTCGTGAAACAGAAGTTTACGGCCTTTTCCGTCAATGCCGTGGTTTTGTTGACTCTTGGGGCGGTGGTGTTGGGCGTCCATGCCGGAAACGACCGGCCGCACGGGGAGCCAAAGAATGCGTATACGGTGGGGTTTGTGTTGACGGTGGTGGCGGCAGCTTTGTATGGGCTGATCCTGCCGCTGGTGGAACTGAGTTATGCGAAGGCCAAACAGACAATTAGCTTAAGTTTAGTGTTGGAATATCAAGTCATTATGAGTTTTGTCGCCACGGTTTTCTCCACCATAGGAATGCTTATAAACAAGGATTTTGAGGTACGTATTGTATCAATGTATCATACGTATTGTTTTGGGGCGGAAATAACCCTAAATAACATTAAAAATGTTTCCATATTTCCATATAAGATGATCATGTTTTTGCAGGATCAGACTTTAAACATGACAATAGTTTCAAGAATAAAAATATAATAGTTTTATTTTGAAACTTTTAAACTTTTTACTCCTATTTCAACAATTTTCCTCATTGTTTTCTCTACGCCCATCTAAAGTTATTTTTGGATTATTTGCTTGGCCAGTGATTTTTTTAGTTAATAAAGCTAAACTTTAACTGTCATCTATTTATATATTTTCATGTAAAAGTATTTAAAAAAGTACCTCCGTTCCCGTTTTGCAAAGTCTAACATTCTTTGGTCAACCACATCTGTTAAAGTCAAATCCTTCCTATTAATAAATAATGAAATACTATCTAATTACATATTTATGACTAAAACAGATATTGTTATAAAAAATGTGATTAGTGACTAAAGTAGTATTGGAATTATAGTAACTTGTGTTCATTTTTTAAACTTGAGTTACCATGACACTACATTGTAATAACTAGTAGTCATATTTTTGTAAATATATTTTATTTAAGTAATATTTTGAAATAAACCTATCCAAATTAAAATGAGACTGTTTGACAAAAAAAATAGTCAAATCTGCAATTCAATTTGGGACGAAGGGAGTATGAATTTTTTTTTATTAAAATAATATTTTAAGAGTATAGAAACTAGAATTTTCACAATTCATGTTAGTTGGACGACCATGAATAGGACCACCATTCTATTGTTTCTAAAATAGGTTTTATTCAGTCATAATTGCGTGAGTTTTATACTTATAATATGATCAAATAAGTCATATTTTGGGAGTAAAACATAAGTAATTCTATTTGAGCATTTTATCTATGTTTTAGTTTTGTGTGGACCAATTCTAACAATTATAACTTAAGTTAAAGATGAAAATTTTAAAATGGAAATAGGTACTTGATAGAGTATTTAATTCTAGAGAGAAGTGAGAGCTAGAGAGAGAAAGTGAGTAATTAAAATGTGAATGGGCCGATGAGGCCCTAGGGGTCTATTTATAGGTAAAAATGTGAATTTGGACTCCTAGCTTAGGGCTTAGGAGGCCTATTACAATCATCATGCCTTCTTTGGGCGGAGTAGAGCCACTAATGGGCTGAGTACAACACTTAGTGTAATAAAGCAAGAAAGTACATTCTGCCAGGAGCCATCGTGGCCGATGCGATGTTCTTGGCTGATGCGGCCTCATGGCCGATGCGATCCATGGGCCGATGCGGTCCCCTGGTGTCTCGATAGCGTTCCGGACTGATCTGGTTCTGGCCGTTGCGGGACGCACTAGGTCGAAGGGTGCCACGTGGGTGTCCCTCTAGTATTGTTGATCGTCTGAGTATGTGGGTCATGGGGTCCAAGCCCATATACTCTATCAGTAATACATACTATTGTAAGAAATAATTACAAATTTGTGATTAAAATAAATGTTGTTAACAAAAATGTCAAATCATAAGTATAGTGATCACAGTAGTAAATAACTTATGTGTTTTTACACTTAAATTGTCATGATAATGTTTTCATAGTAGCATTATTCATATTTGTAAATAAATTTTATTTCAAAAATGTTTTTTCGAAAACGTTTTAATATTAACTACCCTTAATTCAATTATTCAGAGTATATGTAATGAGAGACATGTACATTTAGTTTATAGTAATTTTATGCACCCTAAGTCTCCCGTCCGGTAATTAATGTGGATTTTATTGTTATAATACTCTTTAATAATTACTCCCTCCGTCCCAGGGAGAAGTTCCCGGGTTGACTTTCACACATATTAAGGAAATAAAGTTACTGAGGGGTAAATTTTACTGTTTGGCACTGTTTCGACACTGTTTGGCACTGTTTCGACACTGTTTTGCACTGTTTTGCACTGTTTTGTTGTAAGATAACTTTCCATTTAGGAAAATGGGAACTTCTTGTTGGGACTGCCAAAAAAGGAAAGTGAGAACTTGTCCCTGGGACGGAGGTAGTATTAATTATACATAAACATATACATGTAGTGTAAGAAAGTGCATATAAAATGAATCCATCCATAAATAATATTGCAGTAGATAGATCAGATTAGTTCCAACTTAAATAAATAAACCATACAATTTTAGTCAACTGCAAATTGATTTAACGAACTTGAGCTAAATAGAATTGAACTGGCAAAGTTCAGAACATATATATTCTAATCCGCGATTTATAGAAGCTAGCATACTTTAATATTTTATAGATATATCTAGCTAGCTACTATGGTTTCAAAAAAAAAAACTAGCTACTATGGGGATATTAATGTTCTTGTGATGGCCGGCCTGGATAAACGTGTCTCCACGTTACAATGTTACATCATCAGCAACTGAAACTCATAAAATGATAACTCCAATGATCGGCGTATGATTTCATCCATATTGGTATCCACCTATCTACTTATATTCAATTACGGAGTACTTCGTATGTGAGTTCAGTATTTCATTTCTATTTATCTTTAAGACATACATTAAAAAATTGCAAATTATGAGAAAAAGTATTTATTAGAAACGATGGGAGTAATAATATAGTGCATGTTTCCTTACTGTTTTAGTCTGTCTTCTTAAATGCATCATCATCTATTAATGATCTACTCCACATTCTATGTGGCTCAGTGGCTTTCAAAAAATCCGACCTTTGACCCTTTGTAGGAACGAGGAAATTAAATAATTTGGAGTGAATTCCTTCACCTACAGAATTCCATCTTTATCAATAATATGAGTGCTAATTATATTTAAAAACACTAAATTAGGTTTCTCGGAACAAATAAAATAATTACTCAAAGTAGAAATAAAAAATAGACGAAGTGCGAATACTTATATTTTATTCTCAAAACGAGACTCATTCGATTCTTTTAAGGGCATGAAATTTTCTCACTTAAAAATGATTCTTTTAGGAAAAGAATCATTTGTCTTATTTATGTGTCTATGTTTTACTTATATTTAAGGATTTTTCTTAACAAACAAAAAGGCATTATATATGTACATTATATTTATATATAGATTATATTTGTAAAAAATTTTATCGTCTGAATGGGGAGCAATGATATACTTCATCCATCCCAAATTGATTTGTAAAGTCAACATTTTTTGTCAACCAATGTAAAAGTCAAATCTTTCATATTGATAATTAATTCAATTTTTAAGAATTGCAATTTACATATTCAATAATTACATTAAAAACTCTTCAAAGTTGCAAACTGAAAAATAGAAAATAATTAAAATTTGACATTTAGTAAAGTTAATAAAATGAAACTGTTTGACCAAAACATGTTAGAAATGCATGCCCTCTGATCCACGACATGATAGAAATACTTGGTGTCTTGGTGGATGATTAATCTATTTAATTAATAACAGGCAATTCCAAGGGAGGCAAGAGATAGTGAGCTTGGTGAAGTCAAATTCTACACATTAATAGTAGGGAGCGTGATCGTGTGGCAATTCTTCTTCGTGGGAGCCGTCGGAGTGATTTCCTTCGGCTCATCATTGCTCTCCGGCGTCATAATCACCGTCCTCCTCCCCGTCACGGAGGTCTTCGCCGTCATCTTCTACCACGAGAAGTTCCAAGCGGAGAAGGGGATCTCCCTCTTCCTCTCCATATGGGGTTTTGTGTCTTATACCTATGGAGAGATTAAGCAAATGAAAAAACCTAAACAGCTTCCCTTTTCGGTAGAGACACAGGGGTGATTTACCAAAAGACGGGAAAAGGGGTTGGGGTTGCCAAAACACGGGGCTTTATCTAGGGTTTACCAAAAAACGGGAGTCGGAATTCCCAATTCCGACTGGGTTTCGAAAAGCAAAAAAATCCCCCCTAGTCGGATTACCCAATTCCGACTAGGGAAAAAATATTTTTTTTTTGAATTTTGTTTTTCATTTCTAATTAGAAAGTGTTCGAAATTTAAAAAGGAAAATCCCCCCTAGTCGGATTACCCAATTCCGACTAGGGAAAAAATATTTTTTTTTTTGAATTTTGTTTTTCATTTCTAATTAGTTAGGGTTCGAAATTAAAAAGGAAAAAATATTTTTTTTTTGAATTTTGTTTTTCATTTCTAATTAGAAAGTGTTCGAAATTTAAAAAGGAAAATCCCCCCTAGTCGGATTACCCAATTCCGACTAGGGAAAAAATATTTTTTTTTTTGAATTTTGTTTTTCATTTCTAATTAGTTTGGGTTCGAAATTTAAAAAGGAAAAAATAATTTTTTTTTGAATTTTGTTTTTTATTTTGAGTTCCAAAAAAAAAATAACAGCGTTAGGGCTAAATTATATCAATTCCAAATTTAAAATTTTATTTAGATTCATGACATATTTTTTAAAATGAAAACTTAGCATTATGATTTTTTTAGTAAGAAAACAATTGATTGCTTTAAATTGTTTTTTAATCCATTAGTATTGTGAATTTTGTTTTAATTGCAATTTTTGTAATTTTAAGTGCAATTTTGATTTATTCATTCGTCTAATCAGATAAAATTTCATGTACTACCTGACTCTCAGTCATGCGGTCTAGGTCATCCCGGTACAAACGCCAACTTATCCTATCATACAAGCATATATTATCTGTAGTATAATATATTAAATAATACTAATATTATGCATAATTAGGCTAATTAATAACGGTTCAATTTAATATTTTTATAATAATATTACGCGTACCTAATTACTTATATGTGATTTATATATTACTTATATTAATTATATATTTACGATATTTATTTAGACGGAGATAGTATCACGTCGTTAAAAAAGCTATACATAGATCGCTAACTTATAATTTGTCTTAATTAGGTTTTTTAGGAGTGTAGACGTAGTACATTTAGTAATTTGCAAATTTTTTAATTTAGATTGTTAAATTTGAATTTTAGAGTTAAATTTAGCTATAAAATACTTCAAAGTTAGAGAGAGTGTTTAATTTAGAATTGTCCTTAAATTTTGGTTTTAGGAGTGTAGGAGAAGTTAATTTTGTATTTTGTAATTGCTTTTAATTTAGATTTGTGAAATTGGAATTTTAAGTTAGTGCATATTATACTTAATATTTCCTTTATATTTCTCGCATCCGCCGCATCTACCAAATCAGGGTATGCCCCTCAGTGGTCCAACCATTAGGGGTAAGGATCAGTGGATCGACCTGTGCACTCAGTCGTGTGGTTTCACTCCTCTACAGACTGATATGCGCACGAGTGATATCACTATGAGTGCTGTTACCCGTAACCGGATCCTAGATGACAGTACAGACGAAGAGGTCACCCAACACACCAGGACTCTAATATGGCAATTGCTTGGAGGGTTTTTGTTCCCTGACACGAGTGGGGCAAGAATACGATTGTACTTTTTAGAGGTCTTGCAGGGTGACTTGGCTTTAGCCCGTCGCTGGAGTTGGGGTTAACCCCATCTCGGGTACCTCTACCATAACTTGTGCAACGGCGCGATGTGGGAAACCAAACAAGTTGACGGTTGTATGCACTTGTTACAGATTTGGTCGAGGATTTCGATGGTCCGTCCCTCAGCACTTCAGGTCATTCAACATGGCCATCTTCTATATGGGTGCAAGTATGTTGTCAATTACATCTTAATAATTGAGAATGCTTTACATGACGTTACATTTTTTAACTTCATATCGGTAATCAATAAATGTAGGTGGATCGTCCCCAAGTCATATAAGGGATCTCCAAGACATTGCATACGTTTGTACCGGGATGACCTAGACCGCATGACTGAGAGTCAGGTAGTACATGAAATTTTATCTGATTAGACGAATGAATAAATCAAAATTGCACTTAAAATTACAAAAATTGCAATTAAAACAAAATTCACAATACTAATGGATTAAAAAACTATTTAAAGCAATCAATTGTTTTCTTATTAAAAAAATCATAATGCTAAGTTTTCATTTTCAAAAATATGTCATGAATCTAAATAAAATTTTAAATTTGGAATTGATATAATTTAGCCCTAACGCTGTTATTTTTTTTTTGGAACTCAAAATAAAAAACAAAATTCAAAAAAAAAATTATTTTTTCCTTTTTAAATTTCGAACCCAAACTAATTAGAAATGAAAAACAAAATTCAAAAAAAAAAAATATTTTTTCCCTAGTCGGAATTGGGTAATCCGACTAGGGGGGGATTTTTTCCTTTTTAATTTCGAACCCTAACTAATTAGAAATGAAAAACAAAATTCAAAAAAAAAATATTTTTTCCCTAGTCGGAATTGGGTAATCCGACTAGGGGGGATTTTCCTTTTTAAATTTCGAACACTTTCTTATTAGAAATGAAAAACAAAATTCAAAAAAAAATATTTTTTCCCTAGTCGGAATTGGGTAATCCGACTAGGGGGGATTTTTTTGCTTTTCGAAACCCTAACTTGTAGTCGGAATTGGGGAATCCGACTCCCGTTTTTTGGTAACCTAATTGGCACTCCCGCTTTTTGGAATGTCAGACGGGGAAGTCCCGTTTTTTGGTAATTCCTTCGAGACACAGATGATGACGTCAACTTCTACAGCTGTCGTGCCGTCCAACCAAACCGTTTAATGTAGTACTCCGTAATTATTAGTAGTGGGTATCTAACGCAAGTGTATTTGTATCAGTGCATGCATGTTAGTTCATTACGTAGTATTTTTTATAAAATGGCTGGAATAATTAATTTTTGTTTCAAATGGATAAAGAAAATTAATGTTTCCCATGTTTACTCTCTGTCTGTTGAGATCATGAAGCATCTTTTTCATATAATTAATAAGAGAGGGGCCATCATATCATACGTAGTACTTATTCCCTCTTTTCGCCAAATTGACTTGTCTTGCTCAATGACAATCAACTTGATCAATGATATCTTTTAATACGAAATTATTTAGAATATGAAACTTATATCAAAATGTTCCTTATTCAAAATATTTTCATAAAAGTATAGAATTTATATATTATATACAAATATAATACTTCCTCCGTTCCCTTTTAATTGCAACAGTCAACATTTCACGTTTGCCAACGCACAAGTTTGACCATTAATATCTTTCATTCCTTATTAGTAAAAAATTCAAAAAATTCATATTTTGAAAATTTAGAATGAGAAGAATTTAATAATATTTTTAAAAAAATTTATTTATAATACATTAATGAATAAAATATAGTCAAAGTAGAATATGTGAATAGTGTAAAAAGTCCAATGTTGCGATTAAAAGAGAACGGAGGATAGTATTTAAAATCATTGCCCAAGAAAAGTCAATATGGCGAACCTTTTCGAGACGGATGTAGTAATATACTACATATTGTTCTCACACTGTAAAAAAACTTACGTGATTGACACAGATTTGACACGAAATTGTGCATGATTTCGTGCTAAATAGCTCGTGCCCAACAGTTTTTGGCATGAATTTGATGTATCTATGTCAAGTCCTCTGTGAATTTGGCAAATCTCTGAAAAAAATCATTTTCAATCCCGTGCTTTTTTGTAGTGTCAAATTCTATTAAAATCTCCGTCCCCTTGGCCATACATGCTACAACAAATTATGAGATTGACAAGGATTTGGAGCGGATCAATCGATGAGTTCGTGACGAATAGCCTGTGATTTTTTTAATATGGATTTGGTGTATCAATGTCAAATTGTCTATACATTTTTGGTGAATCCATGTTAAAAATCTTTGTCAATCCCATGTTTTTTCTAGTATGGGTATCATGATTTGTTTGTAAGGATAAATGTAGTATCTAGTCTCTTTTTTCTAATGTAACTGATGAAAACGGTTAGCAACACAAGAGGGGGGTGAATTGTGTGTGTGTGGAACCGTAGCAGTTTTTCGCCCAGTTCTAGTGTGGGGTAAAGGGAATTGCGAAAAGTAAAGTGCACAAGGATTTAACGAGGAAAAATCCCTTGGCTCAAAGGGATTAAAAACCCTCGACCTCCCTCGGAGGAATTTTAAACAACTTCACTAAACAAGCCTTTGAAAGAGTTACAAGAGTGATTCTCCTAATCCGTTGGGGCTCACTTTCCTTGAGTAGATCAATTTTGAATTACCTTCCTTGGTTACCAATTTTTTATTTAGAGCAAGAGGTATTTTGTTAGTAAAAAAGATATCAAGAAATTAAGCACATTTATTATAGAGACTACCTTAACAAGGAAGTAATTCATTTTCCTATTTAAGGAGAGCAACGGGTCATATTTTAAAAGCCATCATTCCATTCAAAATATCTAGTCACGGATGGTAAGATATTAGGCTTTGATTGGTATAGTATCCTTCCATAAATGGAGCAAGTATTTATTCAAATCTTGTGATATTTCAAAAAGTATCTTTCCTCAAATCATGCCACGTTCATTAGTTGTTTGAAAACAATTGCTTTCCTTAAAAGTGTATTAATTAAAGACCTTTTCCATAAGGATATTTCATTAGTATTTTTCCTTTTTAATTTATGCAAGCCAATAGTCTCACAATAATGTTACGTAATCATGCATGTACGTAGATATAACTAAATCACAAATAGCATAGAGTAGTTCTAACACAGGTCCATTAATGAGCTCGTACTAGGCAACCTGCTCGGTTAGAATTAGGATAGTTCTTTCCTTGGTTCCAGTCAGGTTAGTCATCAACAAAACTAATTAATCAACAAATTCCCCCTTTTTGTTGATGACAAACCATATGTGCCTGCATTGTTAGAAGATAATATGCAACAGTAGCAACATCTTATAGTGAAGCACATAAGTACGTAGCATAGAGGATAAAGGCACCTGGTTGTTTCCCCCTTTTGGCATCAACCAAAAGGAAACAAAATAATGCCTAACACCGATTTATTCCCCCTTAGATGATGCCAGAAGCTCCTGCATGCTCTCATCGCGAAATTAAGTGCATATTATACAATTTAGGAAATAAGAAATAGAACAAATACTCTAGGAATTAATTAGACCGAGTTCTAGTCTAATTAGTTCAAACCTTTCTCTTCCCAGAGACTTGGTAAAGATATCAGCTATTTGTTTCTCGGTGTTGCAATATTCCAGCCTGATTATCCCCTTTTCCACGCAATCTCTCAGAAAGTGATGTCGTATATGAATATGTTTTGTCCGAGAATGCATGACCGGGTCCTTTGATATGCTAATTGCACTTGTATTATCGCATAGGATGGGTGTGCACTTTAAATCAACCCCATAATCACTTACTTGTTGCATGATCCACAATGATTGAGAGCAACAAGATGCGGCTACTACATACTCAGCTTCGGCTGTTGAAAGAGCAACAGAATTTTGTTTCTTTGAGCTCCAAGAAACTAGACAGGGACCTAGGAAGTGAGCCGTTCCAGATGTGCTTTTTCTATTTAGTAGATCACCTGCAAAATCAGAGTCTGAATATGCAATAAGGTTAAAATCATCATTACGAGGATACCATAAACATATATTGGTAGTTCCTTTGAGGTATTTGAGAATCCTCTTCACAGCTTTGAGATGGGACTCCTTGGGATTGGTCTAGAACCGTGCACATAGACCTACGCTGAAAACAATGTCAGGTCTACTGGCAGTGAGGTACAGTAGGGACCCAATCATTCCTCGATACATCTTTTGGTCTATGCTCTTTCCTTGTTCATCCGCGTCCAGCCTATCATTTGTTCCCATAGGTGTAGCCATGGTTTTGCCTTCACTCATCCCGTACTTCTTTAAGAGTTCCTTGAGGTACTTTTGTTGAGATATTTGAGTTCCTTTACTTGCTTGCTTGATTTGTAGACCAAGGAAGAAGTTAAGTTCCCCCATCATACTCATCTCAAATTCGGAACTCATAAGATTTGAAAATTCTTCACAAAGGGAATCGTTAGTAGCACCAAAAATAATATCATCAACATAAACTTGAACAACCAATAGGGCTTGATCTTTTATTTTTAGAAAAAGAGTTTTATCTATTTTTCCTCTTTCAAAACCATTTTCCAAAAGAAATTTAGATAGGCGTTCATACCAAGCACGAGGTGCTTGTTTGAGGCCATAAAGTGCTTTATCTAATTTGAAAACATGATTAGGAAAATCTTGATTTTCAAAGCCCGGTGGTTGTTCTACATATACCTCTTCCTTTAGATATCCATTCAAGAAGACCGTCTTGACATCCATTTGGTGGAGGGTGAAACCCATATGAGCCGCAAATGCAATGAGCATTCGGATTGCTTCTAGTCTTGCCACCGGTGCAAATGTTTCGTTGAAATCTATTCCTTCTTGTTGGTTATAGCCTTTGACAACCAGCCTAGCTTTGTTTCTTGTAATTTGGCCATGTTCATCAAGCTTGTTCTTGAATACCCACTTGAGACCTATCACGGTCTTGTTCTTGGGTCTCGGTTCTAGATGCCACACCTTATTTCTTTCAAACTGATTTAGTTCTTCCTGCATGGCTAGAACCCAGTCAGTGTCGGAGAGAGCCACTTCATGGTTCTCCGGTTCTATAAGAGATAAATAAGCAGAGAAAGCACAAAAGTTTTTAAGTTTAGATCTAGTTGTTACTCCCTGATTTAGATCGGTGAGGAGATTATCCAGCGGATGTGATCTATGAAGCTTCCAACCCCTAGGAGCGTTGGGTTGGTCCACCAAGTTGTTGAGAGTATCTGAAACTGGTTCTACCGGTTCTACAGGTCCAGTGTCAGTGTTCTGTCCAGGTTCTTCTTCAGTTCCAGATTGTTCATTTTCATTTGTTAGAGGTGGTTCACCAGTTTGATTGTCAGTTCCTTCATCTCCTTGAGATTGTGATTTCTTGCGAGTGATCCCTAGCTCACCATCATCGGCTTGGATTGATTTTGGGGCAAGTGTTTCATCAAAGATTACATGAATGCTTTCCTCCACACATTGTGTGCGTTTGTTTAGAACTTTGTAGGCCTTGCTATGTGGGGAATATCCGAGAAAGATTGCCTCGTCACTTCTAGCATCAAATTTGCCGATGTTGTCTTTCCCATTGTTGTGGACGAAACATTTGCACCCAAAAGTTCTTAGATGACTTATGTTGGGCTTCCTCCCCTTGAGCAGTTCGTAGGGTGTTTTCCCTAGGAGTGGACGTATCATGGCTCGATTAATGATGTAGCATGCTGTGTTTAGAGCCTCTGCCCAAAAACTCCTAGCTAGACCGCTGGAAATAAGCATAGTTCTAGTCATGTCCTCCAGAGTTCTATTCTTCCGTTCTACCACTCAGTTCTTTTGTGGAGTTCTAGGTGCGGAGAAGTTGTGGTCTATCCCTCGTTCTTTGCAGAAGGCATCGAAGAGAGAATTGTCAAACTCAGTTCCATGATCCGATCGGATCTTGATTAGTTGTAGACCTGTTTGATGCTCAATTTTCCTTACAAAAATAGCAAACTCATTAAAAGTATCTTTCTTGCTAGCAAGAAAGATAGTTCATGTAAATCTTGAAAAGTCATCAACAATAACTAGAACATATTCTTTATTTCCTCGGCTACGGACTGACATTGGACCACACAAATCCATGTGAATCAGTTCTATGGGCTTGCTTGTGCTCACCAAATTCTTCGTTTTAAAGGATGATCGAGATTGTTTTCCGGTGGCACAAGCCGAGCAAACATGGTCAAGTGAAAATTTCATATTGGGCAGTCCAATGACTAAATCATTATTTTTAAGTTTATTTATTAGTGAAAAACTAGCGTGTCCAAGCCTTTTATGCCATAGCAAAGGATCGTTATCAATAACGCTTAAACAAGTCATACTAATATTAGGCAATGAATCAAGATCTACTTTATATGTATTTTCGAGCCTCTTGCCTTCAAGTATAACTTGCTGTGATTCGTTATTAACAATGCGACAAACGTTATGATAAAAAACAACACTATTACCTCGATCGCAAAATTGAGAAATACTTAGTAAATTAAATTTTAACCCCTTGACTAAGAATACGTTATCAATTGCATGGTTAGGTGACTTTCCAACTTTGCCCACGGCTATAATCTCTCCTTTGCCGTTGTCTCCAAATGTCACCTTTCCACCGTTAAATGGCCGTAGTGAGAGGAATAAAGATTTGTCTCCCGTCATGTGCTTAGAACAACCACTGTCAAGGAACCAGTGATTGTTCCCCCTCACTCGGCGCTGTTCCAGGATCAAGGGTTAGCGCGTGGAACCCAGACTTGCTTGGGTTCCATTTTGTATTTGTTTGAGGAATATCTAACATGATCATAACATCTTTCTAAAGTCTTTTGCCGAGAGTGACATTGATACCGTAGATGACCGATTTTGCCACAATGCATGCAAACTCGGTTGTCATAAGTATCAACGTATTTAGGTTTCCATTTACCATAAAAGCCTCTTGTTCTTTTATGAAAAGTTCGGTTAGGCGTTTGTCCATAACCGTTTTTGTGCCTCTGAACCAGTCTATCGAACCAGTTTGGTCCAGTTCTAGGTGGCTGTTGATATGGTCTAGAACTGGGTTGTCCTCGGGTTCTATTGCCCTTAAAGAGTTGGTTCTGAAAATTTGATTTTTGATTAGATCGAATATCCCTTGGAATATATCCGAGACCTGCAGTCTCGTTTACTTTCTTATTGTGCTGAGAAGGACCAGTTCCAGAATGATGTCTAGACCTGGTTTTGTTCGTTGCACTATAGGATTGATATTGTGGTCTATTTTTAAAATCAGTGCACTCGGCAACAAGACGATGAAGATGATCAATTAAAGTACCAACGCTCGGAATTTTTGAAAGAAGTTTTTCATCATGATTAACTTGTTTGTTCATACTATCGAGCTTAAGAGAGCAAATGATTTGATCTTGTTCTAAAACCACTTCACTATACTTAAGCCTTTCATCTATTAACTCTCCCACTTTTGTTTCAAGCCTTATCTTGGCTCTCGTGGCTTCCTCGAGTTTAGACTCAAGCTCAGTGATTTGTGATTTAAGATGATCATTTTCAGAAAGGTTTTGATTAAGCTCAATAGTCAATCTTTTGAAAATTTTCCGAGCTTTGGTTTTGGATAGAGAGTCAAACTTAGATAGAAAATTTTCGAAGTTTACCTCAAAGCTCTCTTGGTCAGATTCCTC